GCATTGCATTTAATAGAAATAGTGGATTAGTCTCACAGAATTTCGTTCTGATCTCTAGTGGAACATGTGTATCATCTTTTAACACTGGATTTACTGGGTGAAATGCTGTTACTTCTTCCAGTCTAGTCGTCCAAGGTTCGGTCCCATGGTCCAATTTCCGACTCAATGCATCCGCATTTGCATTACTTTTTCCTGATCGATACTTAACCGTAAAGTTAAACTGGGCTAATTCTGCTGTCCACCTCATCTCCGTCGCACCTAACTTAGCAGATTACTGCAGGTAGCTGAGCGGGTTGTTATCTGTAAACACTTCGAATTGTGCACCTATCAAGATGTCACGAAACTTCTGGCAAATAGCCCATTTCAAAGCCAATAGTTCTAATTTCATGCTTGAATAATTTTGCATGTTTCTTTCGTTTGGTTTCAAACTTCTACTTGCATAAGCGATGACAACCTTATTCTTTCCCTGCATTTGTGACAAGATAGCCCCAAGTCCCTGATGACTAGCATCCGTCTCAAGAATAAATGGTTTTTGAAAATCTGGGTATCCCAAAACAGGTGCTGTAGTCAGTTTTTCCTTAAAATGGATAAGAAACAATTTTCAAAAATCCAATGAATGAAGGTTTTGGAATCCTTAGGTAGTCAATAAACCAGTCACCAAATACTAACCTTGAACAATTTGTTGAATTTGAGAAATTAATAAAAACATTTGTAGAGTAAATTCTCCGAAAAATGGCCGACATGTCGATACGCCATCTTTGTTTTCATATGCATTCTAAACCCACTGCGATCGTTCAGATTTTTGAAACAACCGCGCTATATTCCCGACTGTAAGTGCTTTGTGATTGGTCAATCAAATTGCACTTTGACACGATAATCGCCGACGACGTATCTGTGATAACAAACAAGATGCCGAACTCTTGTTGTGTAGGCGGTTGTAATCGAACGCAATTAAGTCACCCAAATGTATCTTTTTTCCTCTTTCCAAAGAAAGATAAAGATATAGAAACTTTTAATAAGTGGGTAGAATTTGTTAATACGACGAGGAAGAAGTACATATGGAAATCATGTCACAAAATATGCAGCAGGCACTTTACTACAGAAGACAACATGAATTACCTCATGAGATCAGAGATGGATAAACAAGGAGTCAAAGTGAAGTTCAGGCTCAATCCGAAAGCTTTTCCAACTATTAGAGCACCAGTAAAGGACAGTGAGGAAGAAGATGTTGAGGAAATGCCATCCCAGACCAAAAAAAGAAAAAAAACGAAATCTGCATACCGGCGGAAACGGGAGGTTGAAAGTGTAAGTAAAGTAGCTAGACTAGCCTAGCTAGCTAGGGCCTAGACTAGGTAGCATAGCTAGCCTAGGCCTAGGCTTAGTCTAGTTAGGGTGTGGGGGGGGGGGTGGTGGCTAGCCCTAGGCGGCCCTATCCGACGTAGGCCTAGCAATTTTGCGCCAAAGATTGCTAGGAAAATGGATGCACAAAATCGTACCTTACTAATCTATACTACCACTAACTACTATAACTAGGCCTCTAGCAGCAGCTGTCCTGGGGTCTACTACTAGTAGTACTAGGCCCTACTATCTATCTAATCTACCCTATGCCTAGGCCCCTAGTAGGCCTAACAGACATGTCTTCCCTTTCGCCGTAGGGCCTAGGCCTAAGTCTTACGCATTTGCTGTAAATGTTACGTATTCAAATCAAATCTTACAGTCACACGCCGGCAGAACTTATGCTTATCCTAAAATTTGAGAAAATTATGTTTCTTTTTCAATTTGTAATGAATATTACATTATGTGTCACCCGATCCTCTCAAGGTTGACAGGTATGACCTAAACAAAATATTCAAAAATGATTGAAGGTTTGCTGTAACAATAACATGGAATTATACACTCACTAACCTTGGCTTAGCCAGGTTAAATCAATAATACTAGCTAGGCTAACAACGTGTACTAGTTACCTACAGTAGGCCTGTGTTATAGGCCTGTGGCATGAGCGTGCATAATTCAAGGTTGCATGTCAAAACAGTATTGATTGGCAGAACACTTTTCACTCGTTTCCTTTAAAAGGCCATGTTTTAAAATGATTTATTTATTTTTCAGATTCTATTAGACCAGGTCCAAGAGGAAGTGGCTGGTACATCGGTATGTAGTAGATATTTTTCTGATTTTTAAAAAAAGATTTATTAGCTTTCCCACGGCAGTGGGAAAGCTATTGCTTCTATTCTTTTTTTTTGTTTATTATTTTTCTTCAAAAAGCCTTTGTTTTTTAGCACAGGGATTTCCTACCTTCCACTCAAAATTATGTTTATCTTGACTCTAAGAATGCTGTACTTTCACATTCCAATAAATTGGGCTTGAAATGTCCAATTTCAATTAATGACCCCTCATATTAAGGATCACGTACTCAGGTATCTGAAAACAATAACTTGGATTTTAATTTTTGCTACAACTTAGCCATTTTGCCACAACATGCCTCATTTTTCAGCTTTATAATTTCAACATCAATTCTCATTATGTAAGTGAGGAAACCCGTACTATATGTTTTGTTTTACAAACAGACATAGTACAGTATGTTTAATTGTAAATTAGGGAATATTTTGAAATTTATTATATGTATTACTGTACAGTAGTAGTAGTAGTATAGTAATTCACTATAATTTTTACACCAGGCTCAAGGAAAATCAAGGTTGGCAGGTATTGATTGTAGGCTTTACATTGAGAGGGTTCAAAATATAACATTGTTTTATTTTATTATGTTTTTTACATTAGATAGAAAATACATTTTCAATAACATGTTATAGTTTCAAAATAAGACTTTTGTTTCTATTTAATTATTATAAATACTAAAAGTAACTTTCAATTTGAAGAAATGTTCTTTATCCAACAGTCATTATATTACATGTTTTACGTTATTGTCTCCTGAAATTGCATTACACACTAACAAAAATGTTCAATTGCATATTCTGCTTGCATGTATATTATCACTTGTATTGAAACCATAAATGAGTTGATACATTTACAGTCTATTAGAGCAAAATTACTTTTTATTGTTCTATTTATTGTTACTTTTTGAGTAGTTCTATTTCTGTATCACATTTTAAGTTTTAAAATTGATTTATTTTCTGTTAATGGTTCTTTTTTTAATGTTAATAACATTTCGTTAAATTGTTTTTGTTGTGGTTGACAGTGCATGATTCATTTTTTATTCAACAAATTAGTCAGTGAACTTGAAACTTTTCCTTGGTTTCACAATTATATACAATACTATTTATTTAGATACAACAGAATGTGAGAATGAAGAAATGGATTTAAAGAAACTGGAGACGCTACATCTTCTAATAGAAGATGATAGTGACAGTGATCATGATGATACAGATTATGTTCCTTCTTTAGAAGAACAAACCGATCCAGATTATTTGTGAGTAATTTTCCCTTTTTGAATTAATTGAATTAAGTTTTTTTCTAGATTCTAAAGCAGATGAAGTGTTATCTAAGATTTTAAATTCACCATACTTGTTGAAGTCAGTTCAGAAAATGTCGCCCACAATTCAAACTTACTCCAACGAGTCCTTCCATCAGATTATAAATCACTTTGCTCCAAAAATGAACCATTACCGCTTTAAAGGAATGGTGGCAAGGTATAGTATTATTTATTTATTTTTTTAAATATTATGTTGGTCAAGTCTTGTAGGTGCTTCATATTCTATATTGTGACAGCTGCCGGAAATTGTATCACATGTTTCAGCTAGTATTGGCTTTGGATCCTAAAAAGTACCTTCTTTTACTCCTGGGTGGAGGCAATGATAAAGTGCTTGACAAATGAATAGCTAGTGTAGAATAATTGTTATATTTTCATACTGTATAATATTGTAAATATATACATGAATATATAATTTATTTAATTTATAAATGCTTTTTTGAAATAGTCTTAGACTAAAAAAAAAAAACTTGGATTTTCCTGAGCACAGACATCTGAAACCTTGCAGTGATGGACTTGTTAGTCATTTGCAAGATGTAACCACGTAAACAGACATGCAAATAGCTACAAAGTTCTCCAACCATAGACACCAGAAAAAATATGTTGAAATACAAATTACTGTACATCAATGAAGTTTTTGAATAGCTCTTACTGTAACTTCCATTTTTTAATTTTATCTCAGAACCTACATAGCAGCTTTGCATTTTAATGAGAATGTTGGAAGAGCACAACAAGAAAACAAGGAAGGCGATCTTGAATACTCTTTGTGGTTCTCTCGTGCAAAAAAAGACTGGGTAGCTAAAAAACATCTTGTCGAGCCTACATTTGGTAAGATACCTTTTCAAAAAAATAAATGCATTTATAAGCATAATTTCCACCATTTACAGTATATCAGCATTTGGGTCAGGCATTTCATGTGTTATAATATGTAAATGTTGTCTGTCTTTGCAGAATACGCTGTTAACATAATTGAAATGGCTTTGTACATGGCTAAAAGTAACATGAAAGAATTCTTTTATACTGCTGACATAATGTGCGACCCTGGAACAATTGCTGGAAAATTGCCGAAACCAGACAAAAATCAGTTTGTGTCCAGTCTTCTCAGCCGATTCAGAAATCAATAGCCATACAGTAACATGACGATGTTACACTTTTTTTTATAAGAACCATTCCAATTATGCCCAGGCTCACTATTATTATTTTTTGCCGATTCCAGGCTCAAAATTTACTTGCTGTATTTTGTTCTTAATTTCACACACTTTTCAAACAGAAAATTATTATTGTACAGCAGTATATTACTGTGCTATAGAGGTTATTGGATAGTCAAGCCTACTGCAAATACTTGCAGATCAGATTGGTTGTTTTTTCTATTAAAAGTAGTAAAAACCTTATTTGACATTTTACCTCAGCCTCAATTTGTTCGTAATTTTTTAGCAAATTCATCCTTTGGGTTGTTATAAAATGTGTTCTTATAAATACAGAAAGTGTATTGTAGATCAGCATTCTGCAAACGTCTAGTACTTGTATACATGGCTGGGATGGCTTATCCTCAACCTGGGCTTTAATAGTTGGAAAAGCTTTTGGTTTGTACTTCAAACATTTCTGATCTATTGAGGAAGTTCTTGTTATCTTCCATAGTAAAATACCTACTGCATATCTTGTGACATGGTTTCCAAACTACTACTTCCTCGTACTGTATTAACAAATTCTACCCACTTATTAAATGTTTCTATAACTTTTCTTGTTGGGAAAGAGGACAAAAAATACAAAAGATAGTTTCTGGTGACTTAATTGCATTCTGATGTGTTGAATTTATGTAGAAAAAAACATGGAAAATAATTTTATATAACCAATTATGTTGGATTTTGTGAAATGATAATACTGTACTGTTCTTGCAATAAACAAGCAATTACCATTAATTATTTTGTAAACAAATTTAATTGGATTACAATTATATATATCTTTACATTTAATGATAATAAAGCATGCTCTTGTAGCATGAATACTGCAATCATAATCAAACTGTAAATTGGATAAAAATTATACTGTATATAGTGTTACATGCATATTGTTAAATAGCATCATTGAACCTTTTTAAGGTTGTTGGACTACAGGCTCAATATTATGAAGCACACATTACTAAAATAAATATGATTTCTCTTCTGCTGTCAAGCTAATTAATGGAAAGTGTCTTTACTTTGTTTCAGTACTTAGCAAAGGTTGTCCCATTTTGTGAAAAATAAGAATTCGTCAGTGTTAAATAATATAGGAATATCATGAGTCAGTCACACACAGGTTGCTGAATGTAAATTGTGAATACAAAACCTGGTATAGTGTAATGCCTTAATTTTGTTAATAAATAGGGGCCTAGTAATGTCAGAAAAATTGAAACACACACTTTTACATCTTGCACTGTATTGTTTGCTCTGTAATTCATAAGCTATTGGAATTATGCTTTACATAGTCTATTTTATACACATGCAGTATGCCCTGATATGTATTTTATAACCATCATGAATGATATGCAGATAGTATAGGCTTATTTATGAACAAAAAACACCTCTCAATTTCAGGGCATTCTATATTATATAGTTGGATTGCATTGTAATTAACCAAATATATAATATTGTTTAAATACTGTATACAATTTTAATAGATAAGATTAATTTAATACAGACATAGTAATTCATACTGGCAATACATTAACATATAGCGAGATTTAAGTATTTATCTAGGCTACTATGGTCAGGTACGTTTTCTCCTTTAAAAAGGCTTTTTCTATAAATGGAATGACCTGTAGACCAAGCCCAGTACCATTACAATTTTAATCGTGTGGGAAATAGACTCATGATAACTTTTTATGTATTTAATGTTGTACCCTAAGGCAAGAAATGGTAATTTATTACACAGAGGCTAGGACTCTAGTAGTTCAACAATGAGGTTACGCAGAACCTGAAGAACCACATACTAAGGCGATAATTTTTTGGTTCCTTGCTTCACATACTTATTGTTTCATTACGATTATCGGATGAGAAATAAAAATAAAATTTTGTTTTCTTATTTAGCACATAGTTTTTCCACAATCATTGGTAAATGTAAAATAGTATAGTAAATGCTTCAAATTTAGAGAATTAGGAAGAAATACACATATCTTTGGAGATTTCAACTCAGTGGAGGGAATAATAAAAATAGACATTTTTTAAATTTTTATTTGAAATCATCAATATTTCCAGTTAGATGACAACACATCCTTTATTTTAACCAGCCATTTTAAATTTTTCAATAGAGAGGTTTCACATGCAAACAAATACGTGTACGTATACATTAGCTCTCCGAAATACAAAGAACTTTATTGCAATCTCTGATTAACATTACAGTTGATCTCCGTAACAGTTCGCAACCATTCTGTGTTTTTCGCAATCACGGCGCAATTCAAGCGTAGCCTAGGGCCTTAGCTTAGGCCTACTATATTGTCTTCTCTTCTCTCATCATGCCTCTCAAAGTTTTATTAGTATATGTAAGGTTTCGGAAATTGAAATTTGAAATTGTAGCCGAAAAATACTTCATTTGTTGCCCACATTTTGTGATAGGCCCTATTGTTTTTTATGACCCAAAAGTGCCTGGCTACAAGTAAGTAAGTACAAAATTCCAACACCAGGCATTTTGATTCCCCAAAATGATATAAATGTCAAAAAAATAAACAAAGATCCTATAAGAAATCCAAAATTTCCCTACGCGTTTTTTCACTTATGTATAGTGAGCGAGATATGCGTGTCGTCCACACGTTTAGCCGATTGCAGCCGGCGTATGATGTCAAAATGATAATGTATCCGTCACACTAGCCATACACGTGAAACCTCCTTAATATCTGTAAAACCAGAAAATTTCGCGTGTATTAAACTTTCGCGAATTTTGCGAATGGTCCAGATTCATTGTAGGATGCTTGAATACCATACAAAATTTAGGAATATCGTATGAGTGAGTATAATGTAATGTATGTAAACTTGTGTCTTTTTTAACTGTGCCTGGGATGGCCAGCTAAGTCCTGGTCCTAGCAGCTGAGGTTGGCTGCTAACCTAGGCCTAGAACTCACAATACAATATTTTAAGCTTTTGTATGGTATTCCTCTCATGAATAAAATTTTGGCCTTTTGCGATTCGCGAAAGTTTTGTTCTGCGAAAGTTTCTGGTTTTACAGTACACTACTTGAAATTGCATATTGTTACAGTATGAGGAGCCTCTGGTCGAAGGAGAAGCTAAAATTCACCTATCTAGGGGAGGATATTTAAACCCTGTGTAGTTGGCACTGGGGTCAGGAAATGCCTCGCGTACAGACTTCATTACACATGACATGATCGGCACCCGCCTGTCTTTGCCAAGATAACCCCAGCACCAACGTACAAATTGCCGATAGGCTGTATACCTGTAACGCCTGGAAAAAAAAGAAAAAGAAATTGTGAAGCAATTTGAATATAGATTTTTTTGGTGTGAGGGGAAGAGAAAACAAGAATTAAAGCATAACTACACCTCATAATAAAATATTTTATTGGTCAATTCCAATTTGTAAGCGGTGGGTATTTTGCAAGACTTGCTTGTAAGTGCACACACGACGAAAAAGTAAGGTACCACCCAAAATATTAACTAATATACAGTATTGCTAATAGAACAAAAATATATGTTGATGTTTGCGGTACACCACGTAGGTAGTTTTGAAAAGAACCGTCGTAGTTGTAATTAAGAAACTTCAGTCATCTCCGGGAGAATAATACCTGCAGAAATTACAAACAGGGAAATAATTACATTAGAAGTACAAAAATAATTCATCTATATATTCTTTACCTTTCGGCTCCCCCTTCGGCCACAGGCTCCTGGTATTGCGAAACATACTGCCAATATGCAATTTGTAGTGTTGCAGGATTTAAAATGGCTGGTTCAAACCAAGGATGTGTGGTAATGCACCCATTGTGATACGGTTCTTCCCTGTTTTTTTGCATAACCTTTTCAATCTGTTAAAAAAGATGGAACATGAATTATAAAGTAATAATCGGGCAACTGAAGACTTTAAAAGCATTTAATCTGCAATACAACACAGGAAATGTAATATGCCTTTTACACAGTGCAGTAATACTCTAGACTAGCATTATTTTATTTACCATATGAGAGTTTCCTGTGTTAAAAACATAATTTATACTACACTTATTTATAAAACATAACTTGTACTTTATAATAAGAGAAATCTGTATATTATCGATACCTGGAACATTAACAATACGAAAGTACTATGCTACTGCACTGTAATGCATAGGCCTATTTTAATACACTACTTAGATAGGCTTTTCTTTTTCCATCTTTATTTCAGGTCAAAAACATTTTTCAATTTTTTTTTTTTCAGTCATAGTGGAGTAGATTAGTTTTTTGAGAACATTTTCCAGAAAAAATAAGGTGGTACGACCCTCCTTTATGAAGTTTTAGATAACATGATGACAAGAATTCTGCCTCAAAGCTTATATCAAGAAATTATATAATTCATCTATACCAAGCAGAAACTTTACCTATGAATAAGTCATAATGCAATTTCTCTAAATCATGCACAATTTATTCCAACACAACAGGCATCATGGATGCCATGTGGCTACAGTAGTATAGAACAACAGCAGAGCATAGAACTGCAAGTGCTCTGGCTAACGAGCGGACGGGTGGTAAATAAACCTAGATATTAAATGGAGTTTGTGAGTCTTTTGTTAAAAAAAATCATTTGAGTCGGTGGCCTTTCTGATGGTAGGGAGAAGATACTAACCAATTACTGTATGGTTGGTGTCCTCTCTGATGGTAGGGAGGGGATGCTAACCAATTATTTTCTTTTACATGGCCTTAATTTGTATTTTAATCAAATGGTTCTTACTTCTTGGCAACAGGAACGATTTTCCCACATCTCTTCCACGATGCAGTTTCCACAAGTACACCTGAAAATAACAGAAGTGCATTTTATATTAAACTAATGATTTTATAGAACATAACAGAAGGACTAGGCCCAAATATCATAACTCAGGCAGGTTCTAAATAAAAGCCCACGGTATGATTTGAAGGGCTCAGTTGACTTCTAGTCTACAAATACATTTAGAAAAAAAATATAAAAGATAGGCTTTAAATTAGGCATCCAGTGTTAAAATATTTCCGTTTGATTTTCCATCCATACACAACTTTAAATAGGGCATGCTGATGTCAGATAAAGGGATAGTTTTTTTAATTTGGTTAAAATGGAATTCCCATGGGTATACACCCCCAACTAACTACGTAGGCTCACCAACTAAAACAGGCCCAATATATGGCAACAGTCCTTACTTTAGTACCACCCAAATGATACAGGATAGGCCTAGACAGGCAAAGAAGGGCTATCCTAGGCCTAGGCATTTAGACCTAGCTACAGTAGACTAGCCTAGCCTATAGGCCTAGATGGCCTAGCCTAGGGAAGGTAGACCCCAGACTATAAATTGGCTAGGCTCCTAGGCCTAGTTAAAAGCTTCCATCCAAACAAAAAATGCCATAAAAACCGTCCGCGCGATTGGAATAATAAGGGCCGATTTCCGCGCAGATTTTTCCGAAAAAATCTTTTTTAAACTAGGCCTAGGCCCTAGTATAGGCCTAGTAGGCCTAGCCTAGGCCCCTAGCTACCCTCTATGCATAGCATTTGCTTTGACATAATAAATCTGCTACAGGATGTCAAACAACCAGTTTATGATGTTCAAAAAACATATGATATGAATAAAATTACCATTCCCGTCCTTGCCGCACGTTTATATTGCCTGGTAAACCAAGGCGAACAAGTTCAGCAAGCCTAGCATCATTGTTGACAGCACCAGCGAAAGCACCAGCGACGGGCCTTGGCTCATCGTCGCCAAATGCTACAATTTGTCCAAAATTTACAATAGGCCTACGAGGCTCCGCAGCTATTTCTTCTTCTTCTTCAGATGATGACTGATTGTCACTTGCCATTTTATATTAATAATAATAAGAATTTAATTTGTTATGAACACTATAAATCTGCGAAACAAAAATAATAGCTGACTAAAAACTTGTGTATTGTGGATTTCACGCATGCGTGTAATTACATCCGTGTGCCTATCCTCCGAGACATATGGCTGCCAAATTCGTGAAAGACAGTCGTAAAAACAACATTAAAAATGGACTTTAAAAAATAATTTGAGAAATATATAGCCA